TGAGGTCACCACTACCTTTATTCCATTTCTTAATCTGTTTATCTCCTTGAATACAAAACTTAGCTCCATTCCACTTCCTGGTGCTCCTTTTCTCCTCAAATTGTACATTTTCTTTTTTCCTTGCTCAGTTTGTTACTTTTCATTATAAATCTGTATAAGAGTGACCAGTAATAACCATAGAACAGAGTCAATACTAGGATATTTTGAGATTTCCTCTGCCAATGAAATTAATCCAAAACTCTTCACTTTAGGCTTAGGTAGACTCCAGAAAAGAGCAAAAAGCAACCACATTCTTCACCAAAATATCACAAGAATGATCTCTAGACAACATACTAACATTTTTTTCCTTCTGAAACCTCTTGAGCTAGGCTCTCACAGTTCATCAAATCACACTCAGCACCACTGTCTTCCATGCTCCTACTAGTATGGCCCCTTAAGCAGTGCTTAAAGCATTCCACTGCTTTCCTAATCCAAAGTACCAAAGTCCAAATTCCTCCAAACAAAAACATGGTCAGACCTATCACAGCAATATCCCAATCCCTGGTAACAACTTCTGTCTTAGTTAGGGTTTCTATTGCTGTGAAGAGATGCCATGACCACAGCAACTCTTATAAAGGAAAACATTTAATTGGGTCTACTTACAGTTCAGAGGTTTAGTCCATTATCATCATAGTGGACATGGCAGCATGCAGGAAGACATGGTACTAGAGAAAGACCTGAGGGTTCTTACATCTTGACTCACAGGCAACAGAAAGTGGTCTGAGACACTGGATGCGGCTTGAGCATATATGAGATCTCAAAGTCCATCCACACAGTGACAAAAACTTTCTCCAACAAGGCCACACCTACTCCAACAAAGCCACACCTCCTAATAGTGCCACTCCCTATGAGCTTATGAGGGCCAATTACATTTAATCTATTACACTAGGCCCATTAGAGATAAGTGAAATTTAGGATGCCAGGATGTAAATTCACTCACACTCACTAGGACTGACTATCCATCAGGCTCTGATTCCCATACCAAAGACATACTTCTAACAGGCATGAGGCAGGTATAGGGTCACAACCATCACTAAGTCCCCTGCACCCTTATCAGGAAGAACATAATTCTGCCAGGTGGGAGTTGTGGGATAATCTTTTTGTACACTGTAAAGCTGTGTCTCTGCCTAAGGAATCTTCTAATTGGTTTAATAAAGAGCTGAATGGCCAATAGGCTGGAGAGAATAGATAGGACTTCCAGAGAAAGAGAGAAACTCCAGAGGAATCTAGGCACAGGGAGTTTGCCAGTAGACTCAGATCAAGTCTGATATGCCATACCAAGGAAAGGTAAAAGCCACGTGGCAGAACATAGATTAATAGAAGCAGGTTAATTTGAGTTATAAGAGCTAGTTGGGGACAAGCCTAAGCTAAAGGCTAAGCTTCCATAATTAATAAGAATGTCTCTGTGTCATTATTTGGGTGCTGGTGATCCAAAGATAGTCCAACAAGAAAGCTTACTACATGTGGGTGAATGAAAAAAAGAAATAAAAAAGGAAGGACATGACTGCTCCCAGATATGGTGGAAGAGAAGGTTTATTGTAGATCAAAGGAGTTGGGAGTTTGCCCAGCTGCTTTTCGATCTTATTTTGGTCCGCAGTATTTCTTGCTATGCTCCCTTCCCTGTGTTTTGGAATGGTAACGTATATCCTATGACATTATAGGTTGGAAGTATGTGATCTGCTTTTTGATTTTGATTTTTACAGGTAAGAGATTGTCATGCATCTCAAAAGAGACTTTGGATTTTGAAATAAGTTTAAGACTGTTACAGATTATAGGGACTTTTGAAGTTGGGTTGAATGCATTTTTTTTTTGTATTATGATGTGGCTATAAGCCTTTAGGGACCAGGGAATAGAATGTGGTGGTTTGAAAGAAAATGGTCCCCAAAAGGAGTGGCACTATTAGGAGGTGTGGCCTTGTTGGAGGAAGTGTGTCACTGTGGGGATGGGCTTTGAGGTCTCTTTTCTCAAGTTTCACTCAGTGTGACAATCACTTGACTTCCTGTTGCCTGCAAGATGTAGGACACTCAGTTATTTCTCCAGCACCATGCCTGCCTGCATGCCGCCATGCTCCCTGCCATGGTGAACTGAACCTCTGAACTGTAAGCAAGCTACCACAATTAAATATTCCCCTTATAAGAGTTGCCGTGATCATGGCGTCTCTTTATAGCCATAAAAAAAACCTAACTAAGATGAGGTCATTAGAATAGACCCTAATTCAGCAACAGAGATTAGGATGTAGACAAACAGAAATGATGGCTGAAGACACAAGGAGTAAGGCCCGTTTGTAGACCAAGGAGTGAGGTCTTTAGAAGGAAACGACTCAACAACATCTTGAGCTTGGATTTCTGGCCTGTGAATTGTAAGGAAATAACTTTCTGTTATTTACCTTGCTCTGCCAGTCTGTTTTTTTGTTTACCGAGGCCCTCACAAATGAACCCGTGTTTGGCTATGCAACTTCAGACAAGAGAATGAAGTGAGCATGCGCCAACAGTCCTTGCACGTTCTCCTTAAGCTTCTGCACTTTGGCAGTCACCATGACAACATGCTTGGGCTAGGCTGGGAGGCATCTGGAAGAGAGCCAAGTCACTCTAGTCATCCTGGAGACTAGCCAGGCTCGGTCTAGGTCACTGACCAGCCAGCCCTGAGACACACAAACCTAGCCAAGGTCAGCTGACTACAGATGTGTGAGCAGTCGGTGTCATTTCTGAATGACCGAGATCTTCTGTTTGGCTGTGACACAGCATCTTTGTGGTGACAGAAGGCAGTGGCACGGTGATGCCCATGACTGGCCAGCCTTGGAAGGGGGAGAGGGAGTCTGGGAGAGCTGAAGTTGTAGGGGTCTAGTTATTTCCTAGGAGGTGGAGCTGAAAGACTGCTCAAGAGTGCCCGAGAGTCACTGCCAAGAAACCAGGCCCTCAACAGTCAATAGATTGGAGAAAAGGTTCAAAGAAGCAGAAATATGATCCTGTGACTCCTTGTTAGGGTCACAGCCACCCTCTGGGTGTCACCTTGCCACCTCACAGTATACATGTGGTTGAGTCACACAATATTATCTGGCTGCTGGTCCTGAATGGTCCCACTTTTGTGTAAAAATCTTTGCTTGCTGGAAGCAAAACTGTCAACAGCAGAAGTGGGTCCAGGTTCCTCAGGGTCACTGGACTTTTCATTAATTGCACCTGGAGCTCCTGGACATAGGGTAGAGTAAGGCACAAGGTTACATTTGCCAGGAAAGTTGGTTCCTTGTGATATGCTAGAGAATTGTTCAGCAAATACTCACTCATGTGCTCTTCCCTTGGGCCAGAGTCTACTTTCACATCCCATCGATTGTTAGGTTGGCCATGTGACTTGTTCTGGCTAAAGGAATGTGCACAGATGTCATGTGACTTAAGGCGTCTTTCCTGAGGCAGGCAACAGAAGCTGATGATGTGTGTGCTTGGTTTTTGCTTCTTGTACAATTACCGCTTGCCATGAGATGGTTCAAGGAGAATATGGGAAAAAATGGGAATAGATCTGAACCCATGAAAATCTTGAGCCAAACCTGTGGCTTGAAGACAGACGTAGGCAAGATAAAGAAATGCTTGCAGTTGTGATCTGTGACTGTGGTGGTAGGTTGTTTCACAGTAGTATGATAATAGCTGATAGAAATACCTTTCATAGGGAGAGTCATCAGCTCCAGAAGGGTATTTCTGGCCACTGGTAGTAGACTGGGAAGTCACTCAGGGTGCAAATGTGGCCTCACCCCAACAAGGGGCCTGGAAGGACCAGGCCACAAGGTTGGACCCACAGAGGAGGCATTCCATGGCCTAAGGGGTATGTTGCTGCAGGCTATGTTTTGAAGCCAATGAGCACTCTTAATTCTATTGTACTCCTACCAGGAAGACCCACTCTCTTCTTGAAGAACATCCTAAAACTTCATCCAGCCACTCATTCTCCATCAGATGAAACAGTGGGAAGACTACAATTTTACTCTGTTCTTTAAGTTCCTTCTGACTCCAAACCTACATGCTGACTAGATAACCTGGTGACCATGAAGTCCTTGTGGACATAGGAAGTCCCTGGAGGGGATCAGGAGAGTGGTGGATCTTGGTTCATTTCCTGATGATTCAGAAAGTCCCTTGTGGGTGGCAGGATGGTGGCTGATGGTTTGATGGTCAAGTAGACTCTTGGAGTTAAGGGTGGTGGTGGGTCTATGGAATGGAGGAGCATCACACCACTGGTCAGTGGTGCCTTTGATACATAGGGCTAATTCTGGCAAAGGCCCACAAGACTTCAAGTTGGTTCCCACAGTATGCAAATGCTTGACTGATAGTCTATTTTTCAGATCTGTTTTGAAATTTTCTTTTTTAGTATTTTAAAGGGAAGGTCTTAGGAAGTGCTTCATAGGATGCTACTTTAACTTAGAAATGTTGTCTTTGATCAAAACCAAATCAATCAGACATTAAAACTTCCCCAAGGGACAAAGGACTCCTAACAGAGCTGACTAATTGGTAGCTGGGGAGGAGCCTGTGAGCATGTGTGGCACCTGAAAAGTGGGCCTCATCCCTGGAACACCCCCAGAGCCACCCCTTCACTCCTTGTGCCTGAATTGCCCTGCAAAGCCACTTTCGTGTCTTGACCATTAAAATTGCCACAGTATATGGCATCCTTGGTGATCTTTGGACATTCCAGGCATCCTATCAAGTCACGACTTTTGGCATCAGCTGTCTCCTCTGCCTGGAATGCTTCCTTTCAGGGACTCGCTCGGCTCGCTTCCTTAATGCCTTCAGGCCTTTTCTTGCACATCACCATCTGCTGAGAACGTCCACGTGTTCTAGGGTGTAATGTCCCTATCTCTACCACTTCCTTTTTATGTTCTCTTTCCTTATTTCTATGCAACCTACTGTAGGGTTTGTTTAGTTTATCATGTATCCCCTAGATATCATAGAACAAGAATTCCATGGAGGCTGAAGTTTTCGTGTTTGTTTTTCTTCTTGAAAATTGTTTTAGTCTCACCTACTTGGTATATGGTAGGTGCTCAGTAAACATCAAGTGCATGAGTTACTCAGTGACCTCACCTAGGTGTTTGCTGCTGGCTAGAGAGTACTGTCTGGTTGAAGGGTGTCAAGAGGCATGTGGATCCCTCCTGTGTGGGTAGAATTCACCACACACACAAGCTTGTCCACCAGGGTGACCACAAGATGTTCCCTGAGAGCTTAGAAATAAAATCTCTTGATTGTCTTTTGGTGTTCCAGTCTGAAGTGGACCCATGACAGATGACCAACACACAGAACAAGAAGAAAGAGTTGGGAAGGAAACACAAGTCAGACTTAGAAAGGATTTAACACCACCTTCAGGTTGGAGAGAGATGGAGAAGGATGCATTATGGAAGACAGACAGGGATGCATCAAGGAAGATGGAGAAGGATGCAGCATGGAAACAGGCAGGATGTACTAGGAGGTAGCTCACTGGCCCAGGTCCAGAACCTCCGTCTCTGCCTTCCAGCTTGCTGAGTTGCTTTCAGGCTTCCCATCAGGTTCATTTTCAGTCATTAGGGCACTAACTAGTCTGGTTGGAGCTTACAGACTTCACTTCCCAGTGAGTGCAGTGAACTGTGGCAACCCAGGCCACCAGCCTTGCTTCCTGTAGTTCTAACATTGAGATCTGGCACCTTGCCACAGGTGGCTGGTTAGTTTCTGGTTTTCTCAGGTCTCTTTCTAAACCCTACATTTGGCCAATCTGAGAAAACATCCTCGAAGCAGATGCATTCCAGAATCACTCCTTTGTCCCAGGGACTGGTGAGGGGGGGCTAGCTCTTAGTTTACAGCTGTCTGAAGACGAAATAACCCATCATGATGTACAACGAACATGCTCCCATAAAAAGTTAAATAACGGAATACAAGCTTGAAATGCATTGCAGACAACCAGGGCTGCCTGCCTGATACATTCTGAGGCTTCTTGCTTGCCAGAACCCTGTTCTGGTCCAGGTAGTTCTACCAAGAAGCAATCAATGATTCCTTTATGTTATCCCAAGACTGAGGCCAGTAGGCTTTTCCTGTAAAGGTCAATGGATAAATTTGTGAGTCAAGAGGCAAAATTGAAGATATTAGATGGTGATGTTCACATATTATCATAAAATATTATTCTTTTGACTTTCCCCCATTTTTAGTTTGTGGGTGTGTGGTGGTTTGAATGAAAATGGTCCCCATAGGCTCATAGGGAGTAGGACTATTAGAGGTGTGACCTTGTTGGAGTAGGTGTGGCCTCTTTGGAGGAAGTGTGTCACTAGGAATGGGCTTTGAGGTTTCAGAAGCTCTAGCCAGACTCAGTGGCTCACACTGTCTTCCTGCTGCCTACGGATCCAGATGTAGAACTCTCAGCTACCTCTCCAGCACTACGTCTACCTGTGTGCCACTATGGTTCCCGCCATGATGATAGTGGACTAACCCTCTGAAACCGTAAGCCAGCCCCAATGAAATGTTTTCCTTTGTAAGAGTTGCTGCAGTCATGGTGTCTCTTCACAGCAACAGAACCCCTAACTAAGATGGCAGTACTAAGTCGGGTGGAAGTCTGAATTTGGCTGGCAGAATTTTTGGGCCCCTTTCCTAAACCAATCCCACCTACTTTCTCAGTCTTTCATGCAAGAGTCTACCTCTGGCCATTAAGGGCATGCGTGAGATTGTAGGGGAGCTGTGGTTCTGGATGCTGGATGACTGGAGGCAGGCACTAGCTGCAGCTGCAGTTTGGAGCCTCTCCTCCTCAACCTTGAGCAGCATGCCCTTGGTCACGGTGCAGCGAAGAGGAAAAGCCCTCAATGAAGACCGTGAAGCAGACAGTATAAGCGTGGGAGTTCTAGCCACCCATTTACCCTTTAGCTTGTCAGGTGAGAAAAACAACGCCTTGTATCCCACAGGGAGTGATCAGTGTCTTTAATGCTCACAGCCTCCTTAACTGATCCAGTGTGCCGAGAGAGAGATGTCAATATTACCCACCTTCTCCTCCCACTTTCTGAGCACCTCCCTTCCCCCATGCTGGTGTGCAGATGGCATTTGTCCTCTGTGACCATTCCTACTCCCATCTGCCTCACCTGCTGTTAGATTTGACCCCAAATCAGCCAGTCTGTGAGCTGGCCAGTGACCCATGGTCTCTTTGGCTTGGCTCAAAGGATGAGTGGGACCAATCTGATTCATTCTCAGGAAAAGGAACTAGTGGATGACACGGTGTGAGAAAATGTGCTTGCTGCATGAGCCTAGTGACCTGAGATGGAATCCTGAAACCCATGTAAAAGGTGGGAGGAGAGAACTAACTCCAGAAAGTTATCCTCTGAACACACACACACACACACACACACACACACACACACACACACACACACCCCAGTAAAATTTCATTGGTAGAGGTATGCTATGAAAAGAACAGAAAAGGAATTAGGACTCTTTCTTTGGTTTCTGGCAGGGTAGAAAGGAATGAACACAGACACCCGGGTGGAGCTAATTAGTGGGGAAAGAAAGCTGTGCAAACAGGGCAGCCCGAGTGCTGGCGATGCTTCCGGTGTATTTTACTTCCAGCCTGTTTCTTTGAAAGCCCAGTTTGTGTGGCTCCGTTTCCTGGACTCCTTATTGGTACACCCTATCCCCTGATACTGGGGATCGGAGCGAGGGCCTCATGCACGAGAGGCAAGCACTCTACCACGGCCATCCCACTGGGCTGAAGGTCTCATGTCTCCATTCCAAATGCATCCTGCAGTTTCCTGTGGGTCCTTTCAGACCAGAGTCATTTTAGAATGTAGGTCTCTGCCCTGGTCAGCATTCTCTTAGTTTCCTTGTTCTTGAGGTACAGATCTGGATGGGGGAAGGGAAAACAGGAAGCCCAGACTACTAGAGAACAGCACCAAGCTCCTTTCTGAAAGGGCCTACCCCTCAGTGGTTCTCTGTGAGCATCTGGATTTGTGCTTCTCTGGAGCCACAAGAAGCAGGGCGGGAGGGGGCCAACTATAAAAAATTCCTTCCAAGTGGACAGACGGTGACCATGTAGTCAGTCCCCTAGGGGTATAAAAGGATGGGAATAGAATCAAGGTCAAGAGGGGTCTGAGGAGTTGGAGCTGTGATACAAGGAAGGATGATGGAGATTTCAGACACTTTGCCACGACCTGTCAGCAACTGGAACAGGAGGAACGCGGGGACCGGTTGATGATAGGGGCCTAAAGGTGGAGGGGCTGGTCAACTGGAAGGCGAGTGGAGTGTGTGTTACCATAGAAGTGCAGGGCATATCTGCTATTGGGGACATAAGGACTCTCAGTACACTGAACACAGGGTGGGTGTGAGTGACCTGAGAGGCTGTAAGATGCTTGGGGGCTTGTTCAGAGATGGGAATCTGTGAAAAAGATCTCGGCAAGATGTAAAACCAAGAAGTCGGAGAGTGGAGGAGGTAAGGCGTGCTCAGCAGCTCTGTAGGAAGGAAACAGACTTGGGGTGTGCCTAGGAGGTTGATCACACATCTGGAGCTCAAGACAGTCCCTGGGAGTCATTTCTGTGTAAGTGGTCATTGAGATGTGGAGTGGATGAGATTATGTGGAGAGTTGAGAAGAGGAATACAACCCTCGGGAATGTTTAAGGGTAGAGGGGAGCCTTTGGAGGAAGGAGAAAGGAAGCAGGAATGAGCAGGAGTTAGTTTCAGCAGACTCTGACACTCAGGAAAGGGGCGGCACCAGAGCAGACGTCACTAGCATGGGGTTGAGCCCAGGGTAACTGGAGGTTCCCCGGTGAGTCGCAAAAGCACCTGGGTCCCAGGAAGGTGAGTGGGTAGGTGGCAGCTGGGATCCTGGGGTAGGAGGCAGGAATGAGGCTAAGGAAGGGCCTGAGGACTTGGACAAACAGCAGTGTCCTTAAAAGCTTGTGGCAGTCAGTCTTTGTCACAGCTCCTAGAACCATCCTTTCCCCAACCAGAGACGTCTTCGGGCCTTCTCCTCTAAGATCACGTGAGGCCAGAGGCCTCATGTCTTCCACGCACTTCAGAGACGGTTTCTAGACAGATTTGTAGGATGGGTTGAGGTGCTGAAGCACCCAAGGCCCCAAGAAATGGTGCATTCTCCCAGATTTTCCTGACGTCACCTGCATTCCCCCCCCCCCATCACTCTTCCGTCCATCCCTCTTGACCACAAGCCTGTCATGTCCCAGGAGTGAGGTCAGCAGCTGCGCTTTATTAGCTATGAGAACACGATCCCTGGAGGCCTCTGCTGAAGATGATCTCTCTCTGGGCTCTGCAGCCTTCTGCACCTCATTCACACCCCATTCCTGGTGTGGGGAGCAGCAGTGTGCCCAGGGAATAGGGTCTGGCCATGAGATGATTATCGTGCTTGGCACAAACACTGATCAGGCTGTCAATTCTATCACCTCCACTCCCACTGGGTGGGTCCCCCCAAACCTAAGCAAGCTTATGAAGCAAACCCGACTCGCTCCTACCCAAGAGGTCAATGCTCAACTACTTGACACTGGGGGCTACCCGCTCACTGATTTCTGACTTCACCCATGTATTCCACCTCTGTGAGAAGATAGCAAAGCCTGTCCCCTAGCTTTAAGAACATCAGTAGGTACAAAGGGGACCTTTTTTGGAGAATGTGGCATATTCCTAGTACCTGCTATACCTGCTCCTCTGCACCTGGGTGCTTAGGGGAGGCCAGTTCTGAAACCCAGATCCCAGCTCGCTTTCTAAGCCACTTCCTTCTAAGCCCTCCTACCATTTCCCTTTTAACCTTGTAAAATCATCACGAAAGGTTTGGAATTGTGGTGATGCTTCAGGCAGACTGCCCCCTTAGCGGAGGACAGGCGCTTTTGGTTCACAACACCTATCCATGTTAGCCCCGGTACCCAGCTCTTCCAGTTTCAGGGAATTGTTCAGATAGCTGTCCTTCTAAGGGCCCACTGGTTACAGTTTTCACTCCCATGCAGGTTGGATAAATGTGGTTGGTATTCTCTTTTTAGAGACTGAATTGTTTATGACCCTGGGATGTATGCCTTTACTCGGAGCTAAAGGAATATGCCTCCTAGGTGTGGGTCTTCTCATCACCCACACTTGTCTGCGTGGGTGTGTATATCTCTTCATGTATCATCTTTCCAGTTGCATTGGTAGCCGCTATGTTCCCCGAGACCCTCAAAGCATCACAGATGCTTCTAGGAAGGCAGACAAAAAGAAAGTTTGTGCTTATGTGACTTTTAAAAGTCAGCAAAGCCTCAAAGTCCTTTCACCTTGCTGAGAGACCCAAAAGACCGTGACCAAAGGATAGTAACCCCCGTGGATGAAGGAGAGAACCAACTCCCAAAATATGTTTCAGACCTCTATAGCACGCCCCCCCCCCCCCCCGCAATAAACCCCAAAGGGCAGCAACTGTCAGAGAGGCAGTTATGATAAAACTAGCAAAGTGAACATCGACTATTCTGTGGTGGTCTAAGGATTTTAGAAAAAGGAGACTCTATATGAATTACAGGCCAAAGATGGACAGTTTGCACAGTCTGAACAAAATATAAGTACTCTTACTAATAAATAGGCTTCAAAATGATAAATAAGGCTCTCCCCTGTCGGCAGCCTGGAATCCCAGTGAGAAGTGATGGGCACAGACAGGCACAATGAATTATGTACAGAGTGTAAACAGTAAGGCCCCTGGGGGAGTAATAGTGAGGGCTGGGCCAGGTGAAGGGTACATACAGGTTAGGAACGTGGGGAGGGGGCAGTGGGCCTAGGGTGAAAAACAACAGATTTGTACGGCGGGCATCCAATATGCCACCAAAGCTTGCAGTATGCAGTTCCTATGGTAGGTCCACTGACTTCCTCCGGGTGGCCGTAGGAGTACAAACTGTCCACTGATCTTTTCCCTGGGAGCAGCAAAGCAAGAATCTGTACCTCTTCCTCCCCAAGGGGTGTGGCCCAGACTTCAGGACCAGCTGACTAAGCAGTTTTCAGACTGGATGAGAAGGGTGAATCCTGCAGTCTTTCCCTTCCAGGAAGAGCTCTGGACACCTATGTCCAGCAGGGGGCGCCATAACTCACCACCTTGGAAGGGCTCCGACCCCAGGTCCAGTTCCTGTTGCTCTGGGGATGGAGCCCCGGTGTGGTCAGAGCCCTGGATCCGGAGGCAGCATCCCACAATGCACCCTATCCCTGGCTCCAGCACATCCCCCAACCTGGTCTCGGTCCTTAAATGTCAGTCTCCCGGAGATTGCTGTAGTCGGCTGGCTCACAGGCAGGGCAGATGACCGCCTCGGCCCCGTCGTGGGGAACGCTTAGAGACACCGCCTCTACCTCCGACCGCAAGGTGCACGCAGTCTCCGCGCGCCGCGCGCCCCCGGAGCGGATCTTGTGGGACAGGCTGGACACCTTCGCACGCAGCTGGGTCGTGGGTCTCTGCAGCGGCCCGAGCAGTTTCCACTCCCGGAGGGCGGAGGCTGGCTTTCGACGGCCGGAGACCGGAGCCTGCGCCTCGTTCGTGCCTGCGGAGCCCGGGCCTGGGTGTGCAGTGAGGGCCAGGGGGGCTCCCGGGGGTGCGACGCGCAGGCTGGGGGCACAGTCAGGGCGCTGGTCTCCTGTCGAGGCTCGCCAGTGGTGGCCGTAGACGCGCCAGAGGCGGCGGCGGCGGCGGCGGCACTGGCAGCGCAGGAGGCGGAGGAAGGCGCGCTTGAACTCGCGACTGGAGCAGGGGTAGATGAGCGGGTTCACACAGCTGTTGAAGTAGCCCAGCCAGAAGATGACCTTGAAGACGCCCTCTGATGGCTTCAGCTGCGGGAACAGAGAGCCTGCAGGGGACAGAGACGCGGGTAGTTAACGGATGTGGGTAGCGGGGGAGGTTGACAGCTGCCGACCTCAGAAGCTGAGTCACCGGCAGGAGCGCTCAAGGGGGCCTTTCTCTGTGAATATAGATGGCGAAAAAGGAGTCATCTTCCTGTTTTCTGAGTCCGACCTGATCGTTATTTGGGCACAGGCAACAAATCCTGACCAGAGTGAAACCAAACCACACGTAGCCTCAGTTTCTCCATCTGCAGTCTTCTCTATGGAGCTCAGTTACTGGGATCTGTGTGGAGGTCTCTTCATGGTCCTCTTCTCCGCAAAGGGCACCTTCTAGAAGACACCAACCAGCTCGTCCTGTTCTTTAAGGCGTTGATGTGGAAACTCAATACTGCTATAAGTTCCATGAAAATATTTTGACAACTATTTTTTTTTTCAACAAAATGAGTTCATTTGCAATCTTTTGTATGGTGTTTTATGGCACTCTGTCTCTGCAGTGTTCCTACTGCCTAAGCACCAAGAGAAAGAAGCCTGGAATTAAGGGGTGACCAAAGTTTGCCCATTGCTGGGTACTGTGGAGGAGTCAGAAAGTGGTGCTGGACCTAGGTGACAGTGTGATTACCATTGAGCGCAGGGCTCCAGTGCAGGCTCGGGGACACCTCCCAACCATCCCAGACTCAGCCGGGACAGGACAGGCATGAAGCCGGCGGCTGTAGAATGAACTCTGACACCTCATTTAGGCTCCATAATGGAGGGCCTTGAATGAAGGCTCCGCTTTCACTCTAAGGGTACTTAGGAACCATGGGTATTTTTAAGCGGGTGAGAGATACAACTCAGAGTTAAGCTCCAAGAGCGCACTACCCATGGCTGGAAAACTACGGGGGTGTGGTGCTGTCCCAGGGCGAGTGGTGACGAAAAGCTTCTGGCATGGCTTGGGGTAGGGGAACAGAACTCCGGGCAGATGGGGATGGGTGCCGAGAACCTGTTTCCCACAATCCTTTCTCTTAGGATCCTCAGTACGGACCCTAAGGAAGCCACTCCCAGGGAAAGGGGTGGAGCGCAAAGGGACCGTACAGAGGCCACTTCCTCACCTGCCTTGCCCTGGACAGGAGTTGGGGCCAGGTGCTTCATCCTTGACACGGTGTCAGGAGTGACAATCCTTGACAAACTGTGGCATTTTTTTTCTCTGTCTTTGATTCCTCCAAATACGGGCAGTGTGCCCCCCTCCCCAGGGGCAGAGGCTCTGTGCCCCACTCATTAACCACTTTGCATATCACCTACTATCCACGTGGAGAAACCAGTTCCTGATGCTAAGAGATGGCAGGAGGAGTGGGGGGGCAGCACCCACCACACAGCTCAGCCTTTTACATCTTGCTCATGTCGTCGCCGGCCACTGAAAGTCTCTCTTTTTCTGTGAACTGGAGACAGTAATGCTCCTCTGGGTGGGATGTCATGTAGATTCATAAATTTCAGAGCTCAGTGCTTAGCAAAATTTTAATCCAAACGTGTTGGGCTGGGAGCATAGATCAGTGCTAGAGAACTCCTGCAACACTTGAGAGCCCCTGGGTTCAATCCCCAGGACAGGAAGCAAATCAACTAACCAACCCACCCACTCACCCACCCCTGAGATCTTCTTACCACTACCACCACCACCACCGCCACCTTCCTGTGGCTTTTCAGAGAGGGCATCACAGCCCTGGGAAGGGAACCTACCATCTATATCTAGAGAGTGGTCAGAAACAGTAACTGAATACAGTGGGCTTGTGGGTACTGGGGCTTGTAAAGTCGGTTTCCCCTGGGAGAGGTGTTATTCTGGAAAATGCCAGAATGACCTTACCCTGCAGGAAGATAGCCCTCAAGAATAGCATCCCTCAACGGCTGCAAAGTCAGGCCAAATGCTGGAAATAACATTCCGACTCAGACTGCAGTCTTTTCTGTTTCGCTGTGGGTGACGCACCAGTGGACTATGCTTTCCAGCGGTTGCTGCCAGCCTGGTTTTTCTTCAGATTTGTGACTTGTTTTAGCACTGCCCCAATCTTACTACAAACATTGATACTTTAATTTATGCACAACTGACTTGTCCAGAGTCTTCCTGGAACAGGGAATTCCTCACACACGGAGGGGCTGGGATTCAAAGGCAGCCTTCCAGCCCCACCAGTTGCCTCCCGCCTCCCTTGAGGTCTGACTTCGAGTTCCCCCAGAAGCAAGCTCTGGGACAGGGTTCAAGTGCAAATCTTTAGCCTGGGAGGGAAACACCTTGTGTAGGTGCTAACACAGGGCGGGAGGACGCTAGTAAGTCAGTTGCTAATATGGGAAACTGAGGCTTAACCCCAAAGGGGCTCTCTGGGTTTCCCCACCAGTGCGGAGGGATGTGGGTATCTACCACTCGTTTCCATCAATCTTCAGCTGCTTTCTTCAGCTATGAACTTTTCTCACTTTCTGCCTACTTTTTGGATGGTCTACAAGGATGAATATGCCATGGAAACCCCCGGGTAAGCGATGCAGGCAGGCACTCAGGAGCGGGCCTGTGCAAACTGAAGGTCCGAGGGAGATGGATGATCCCTCAGCTTCCACCACATCTGGTCCTTACTCTCTTTCTGACCACTGTGTGCTTAGAAAATCCAGGCATCTGTGCTGCAGGTTGCAGATTCCAGGGGCAGCAGGTCTTGGGAGATATTTCCTGTTACGGTCCCAAATGAGGACCCTAGTGGCAGGTGAGCCACGAAGCCCTTCACCCCCCGCCCCCAGCACATCATACTCACTTTGAAATGCAGTGGGTACTGATACACCCATAGACTCTCCCCTATGGCACCCCACACTATATCTGCCATCAACGGTTGAGTCCTGAAGCTTTGTCCTGCTTCCTTGTGACTGTGGCCCAGACTACCACCCCTGTCTAACGGCAGCACCTGCCCGAGCGGTATCTCCACACAGCAGCTGGGGGTCCTTGGCAAGCACAAGCCGGAGCTAGTCTATTCTTTACTTACAGGCGCTGTACACTGCTCACCGCAGCCTCTCACATTCCCCCTCTCTTTTTCCTTATCGGGAGGGTGACCATTTGCCAGCTCCTTCGATTGTTCCTAGCATCTGCATCCTTCCCTGCTTAGCGGGCACTCACGTTGCCAGCACCACAGCCCTTTCCTTCACCACCCTCCCATATCCACATTCCTCATCCAGCCAGAACCTAACCCGGGAGCCACAGAATCACAGCCTGAACATGCGTGGGGCTCTGACCTTGGTTCTGTCCGAGGAGGCTCCAGCTCTTTCTTTCCCCCAGCTCAGCTATCCTAACGTCCCCCTTCCCTCCCATGTCTGTCCCCCCAGCTCTGGGATTTCATGCTCACACCCCTGTGTGTCCAGCCCTCTACACAGGTGTTGGAGATCCAAATTCGGTCCCTGCGCTTGCTTGGTAAGCACTTTATCTGCTGAGCAGTCTCAGCCCTTCAAATGACTTTTGAAAAAAGGTAAACTGATCTTGTTAGTCCCCTGCTCAAAACCCTCCAGCAGCTCCTCTGTTTCCCCAAGGTAATGGGGATGGGGTGGGAGTGGGGGGTATAATGTGCACAACTCCACATGTCCCTCCCCTCCCCCACTCTGCAGCAGCCACTGTCTTCCTTGCTGCTTCTCACCCACACGGACCTCAGCTTTCCCCCAGAATCTTCTTCCATCGCCTCTGAAGTAAGGCCGCCCAGACCCTACACCTAACTGGATGTCTCCACTCTGCTTACTTCTCACTTAGCACTGTTGTGTTCCAGTACTGACTGCCTTCTCCAATCCTGCTGGAGTCACGATTCAGCTTCTCTATCCCTCATCCTCTTCCACCCTGGGCCGGTGACTCCAGAATGTGACTTCTGTCTACTCTGCTTGGCCCCGCTGAAGGAGTCTATCCCACGCATCTAACCATGCCTGGCTCCCCTTCTAGCAGGTGGGCCCTCCGCCTGGCTCCTGGAGCCTGGTGCCTCTATTTATCTCATTTTGCTTAGACGGCTGCAGCATCCCTGAAAGCCTCCAGCCTCCACCTGTCCCCTCCAATCTGCACACAGCTTCAGGGAGGCTTTTTCTTTAAAATGGTTCTCTCCTTTCCTCTGTCCCTTCTCAGTGGCACTCCACAGCTCTAAGAACATGCCACAACTCCTATAACACAGGGAGACGTAGAGCGACCTTTGTCTTGCCTTCCTCCGAGTTCACGTTTAGCCCCAAGCAGGTCCTCCTACTGGGCCTCCCTCTCGTTCCTCACCTCTCACCCCTGCTCAGTTTCCATCCATTTGGCTCAGTTGTACCCACTGGCCTTCCCGAAGTCCTGTAAGAGGGTTGTTAGTTCCCCGGAAGGCCCATGTGTTGAAGGCGTGCTCCCTCGTCCACGCAGCTACTGGGAGGTGGTGGAACAGCTAAGAAGTGGGGACTAGCTAGAGGATTTCAGGTCCCCGGGAGTATGGCTCCTCTTCTGTTTCCCAGCTACTCACTGCTTCCGTGACATGCTGCCTCACCACATGCCCCAAACAATGGGCCAACCAATCACAGACTGCAGCCTTCCAAACAGTGACCCAAAAGAAAGCTTTCTCTTTTTCACTTAGCAGTCTCAGGATTTCGGCAACGCTGACTAACACCGATGTGGTGTAAGAGGTCTAGCTTAGTGTCCTGCAATGTGGCCACTGCTGGTCAGAAAGGGGCCTGTCTGGTCAGCAGGTAAACCCTGCCAGCTGGCCCAGCTGGGCACACCTGGGGAAGAGAAGTCGGGCGGTGGGGGGGGGGGGGGTTGGAGGGGGAGGGGGTTGGAGGAGGAGGGGGTTGGAGGGGGATAGGGGCTCTTTGCAGCCTGGTTTGTCCCAGCCAGTGTTATTTCCCAAGGAGCAGAAGGGCAGGCTGAGAAGGAGCTGCTGGGATCTGGGGTAAGTCAAGAGAGGGACAGGAGCAAATAGGCCAAGCCCTGAGGAGGATGGACAGCTCTGAGGCTGAGAGGCTGGCTCTGTGATTAACAGCCTCTTCTGGCATCCCCAGAAAGGAGCATGTC